AGAGTAGTTGACCATGTGCCTGTTTTTAGCACAACAGTCACTTTTGATTCCCGCAGCTAATACCATATCCTCTGCGCAGTCACTCCAAAAAATTAAGCTACACCATGCTCGTGTCCTCGTGCGTGAGCTCTCCTCGGTCTGCTGTTCAGAGTGCAGGAGAGATTATTTATGTTCATTAGAGCTCTGGATGAATTGCCAATACATAAGAAGCGATGACTAATCTCCATGTGGCTTTTCTTTTGCATTCATTGCTAGGTCATTGTGGGAGGGTCCTTGTGCTGCACTGTATTGCGAGTTACTGCTGTCACCCCAAATTTGGTTATGAGGGGTTATAATCTTACAGCATTAGGGAAGCAGGATGAGCTGCAGCCCACAGGCTGTCACTGCAGCTCTACTCCCTGAAGCTGTTTGCCGTCTTTCCATCTGGGATGTGAAGTTTTCAGGAGGGGCTTCAAACACTTCCCACTTCCAGTCTTCAATGGCTCTTGCACCCCAGAAGTCTTTCCCAGCAGTTTGGATTTTCACTTTGTGTCCCATGTTTAAACATCTGCAGAGCAACTCCCTTTGGCTTTCTGTGGTTTCTGAAGGGCCAAGTATTGCTATAGGGAGGCCCTCAAACAAATCCCCCCACCACTTGCTGTCAGATACTTGTTCCCAAGCAGCTTGTTCCCACTTTGCTGCTGATTGTGCTGTACATATTTAAATCTCTTAGTTTTTACTTGCAAGCTGATCCTTGATATCCTCCTCATTTCAGTTCTTCTTCACTTGTTTTAGTGTATCTTTGCTTGGGGTTATTTTTCTTACTGACATATTAGGGTGTATTGTTCTCCCCAGGTGACATTCTTTTTCTTTGCCACGGGTAAGTAGTTCTGCCCTCAAGAGACGTGGACCCAGACTCAGCCGTTAACATTGGGCCAACCTTCCATTTAGAAATGGATGGTTCCTTCCCCATCCTTTTTAAACCCCCCAAATTAGTTGGATTTGGAGACGCAAGTGTCTCCAAAAAGAAGGGCACTCCCTGCCTGTTAGCCAAAAGCATGGGAAAAGGATGGTAAACTTCCCCCTCAGCCCGTGCTGCATTTGTGGTCCATATTCTTATGACATGAATTTGACCACAGCCCCCAGGTCTGATGTTTCCTAGCTGCTTCTTATCTTTCTTCTCTGGGCCTTACTTTGGCCCTCTGTGTAGCTCATCAGATGCACTCATCTCTACCTGTTGCTTACAAAGAGGGCTGTCAATGGCAGCTTGGGAGAAAAGAAGAAAAACAGGGCTGTTAATTTTTTCTTCATCTCGTTTGACTTTCTGAAGGCCTGAAAGCTCCGGGAGGTACTAGGAGAGTTAGCCAAACTGTGAAAGAGAGCAAAATCAAGAAGCCAAATTTATAATCCTACAGGGATGCTATTCCCATAATGTGCAGAAATACCTTTGTGCAGGTTGTTAGCTGCTGGGACAGCATTTAGGCATGTGGGATAACCTGATTAAAGAATCAAAGAAAACCCTGTTAGCTCCACAGGCCAAATCCTGCCTTACAGCAGCCTGATGTCAAATGGGTGTGAATCAAGGAAGCTTTCCCTTTGGCATCTTCTGGTAACACCTTGAAGAGAAGGGTCTGAGCCAGGGTTCTAGCAAGGAAAGAGGCTTAAGCAAATATACTCCCAGACAGGGAGTGAGCTGGAGTCTGCAACTAATGACTTTGTTTTTCCTCACTGGTACAGACTTGGAAGGATGAAAAGAATAAATTTCTCAGGTCTGATTTTCAAGTTGTATAGAAGGTTCAATCAGGAGCTGGTTAATTTAAAACGCTTGTCTGTCTTAGCTGTGAGAATGTCAAATAGTGTGACTGAGCTGAGATTTGGGAGCAGAAGACATGTGTTTTCTGAAGGCATAATCCAGAAGCATGATTACCTGCTGCCCTGGTCACTGCAAAACTCCCACGAAAGTCAGCTTTAATGCGAGATGTCAGACAAGATGATGGTAATGATCCCTTGTGGTCTTAAACTCTGTGTGTCTGAAATGTGTGAGTAGGAGTTGTATCAGATCCATAGTGAGAGCATTTTCAGGCCACACTGTTTGGCGTTAAATCCCTTTGCAGGGTGGATTGCAGCTGCAGGTTTCTGCTCTGTTCACAGTACCAGGTAGGCTGTGCTCAGTGTTGGTGTCTGGAGCGCTCTTACGTAGGCTGTGGTAGCAGACGAGGGGAACTGCTTAGCAGATCAGCCCGCAGTGTGTAGGTAAGCAATGAAACTCCTGGCCATGTTGTGAGTGCTCAGTGTTTATCAGAATTCAAAAAGCAATCAGGAAAGTTCATGGGAGAAACATCTGCTTGAGGCGAAGTACAGAGAAGATGAGCTCTGGCTCAGGAAGTCCCTAAGCCAGAAATTGCTGGAGGCTGGGAGCATATACGAAGGGGTTGCTGTGTTTTGCTTGCCCTGTTTTCATACCTTGGCGTCCATTGTTGGCAACTGTTGGAAATGAAGCAAGCAGCAACTTGGTGAGGCAAATGCTCTGTACCTGTGCATATGTAGAAGTTCCATCAGTATCTCCAGGTATGCTGCATTCCTTCCTTGGCAATACAAAGAACAGCATGGATACGGACTGAGATGATGTGATCTGCTTATACAAAGCAAAATGGTAAATTTGCCAGGTTATTTCTCCAAGGAGAAAATTATTGACCTTGCTTTTTTTGGCATACCAGCTACTGTTATAAAGATCATGATGGTGACAGCAACCAGACAGAAAGGCCAGCAATAATTCTTTCCTGCCCATTATTACAAGGCATAAGGCAAAATCCAGTCTGAAACCAGCGCTAGTCTGGCTGTGCTCTCTTTACAAATGTGTGAGGCAATTCTCATACGGGTCGAAATTCAGGACTTTTCATATCGACCTTTCCGAAAACAATCCTTTTGATCTTCTGATATGAACCTGTGTATTTCTATGTTTGTGTCTTACCAGTGATTTGCAGCCCAGAGATAATGTCCGATAGCAAATATGCAAGTGTAGAAGTAACCTCTCTGAGTTCGTGGGTGATTCACCTCCTGACAATACATTTTAGCTGCACATGTAAGGGCTGGATCTTGCCCCTGAGAATATTGGCTCAAAGAAGCAATAACAATGCGGTCAGTCAAAGCACTGCTTTCCCTGGGAATTTTGTTGCATGAGGAAGCAGAAGAACTTTAGCCTTCCTGTGTTTGTCAACATGATCTGCCTTCCAGCAGCTTTTTATATTTCTGTCCCATTAGATTTTTTCATTTCCTTTTTTCTGCCTCCTTATTTCTGTCTATCTTAATCATAATATTGTAATCATAGACTTTCTATCTCATCCAAGGTTCAAACACTGGCTGATAACTTTATTCGATAACTCCAGATGCATCAAGCAAGAGTAGTAGGTGAAGTTTGCTTTCCTTCCAGTGAAATGACCCAAATCATTGCCACAGATTTATTGTTTGCATCTATGTAGGTTGTACCCTCCATTCATGGCATGTGTCTTTAAGGTGCTTGGTTTGAAAGGGTAGGTTGCACAGTTGGTGTCAGAAAGGTTAGTGTGGCTCACACACAACCATCTGAAGCAAAATTATCTTGGTGTTTCTATAACTAACTGCAAGAGTGAATGAGGGTTGAAATGAGATGAATCATTCAATGGACCCCACTTGAAAGGTGGGGGTGTTGTGGTTTAACCCCAGCCAGTAGCTAAGCCCCACGCAGCCAGTCACTCACTCCCCCCAGGTGGGATGGGGGAGAGAATCGGAAGCGTAAAAGTGCAAAAACTTATGGGTTGAGATAAAGACAATTTAATAAGTAAAGCAAAAGCCACACACACAAGCAAAGCAAAGCAAGGAATTCATTCCCTACTTCCCACGGGTAGGGAGGTGTTCAGCCATCTCCAGGAAAGCAGGGCTCCATCATGCGTAGCGGTTACTTAGGAAGACAAATACCATCACTCCGAACGTCCCCAGCCCCTTCCTTCTTCATCCCCCAGCTTTATATGCTGAGCATGATGTCATATGGTACGGAATATCCCTTTGGTCAGTTGGGGTCCCAGCTGTGTCCCCTCCCAACTTCTTGTGCATCCCCAGCCTGCTTGCTGGGTTGGTGTGAGAAGCAGAAAAGGCCCTGACTCTGTGTAAGCACTGCTCAACAATAACTAAAACATCCCTGTGTTATCAACAGTGTTTCCAGCACAAATCCAAAACACAGCCCCATACCAGCTACTATGACAAAAATTAACTCTACCCCAGCCAAAACCAACAGAAGGGGTTTTTTTGGCTCCAGCTCTTCAGGAGCAGGCCAGAATGTAAAACCTGCGCAGCAAGGATCATGGCCTTAGAGCTGGCATTTCACAGTCATTAGTTCAAACATCGTGGGCCAGAGGTAAATGAACAGTTTAAGTTACCCTGAACTCCAGTCCTTGCGATGCTTTCATTGCAGACATTGCTTTGTTCTCTCCCCAGACTCAACAGTAGTCTCTGTGGTGGGAGAGGAAGATCAAGATTTTCTTACAAGGCAGATAAAGATCCTTTATAGGAGTTGTATTGGCAGAGCAGTTGGGGGGGTCTCTGTGTAGCCCCAGGAGTTTGAGCTTCAGCTTTGCACTACACATTGTGGAGGTTGTCTCTAATCAACTCAGCTGCAAAAGGTCATTCAGACTGAGCAGACCAGAGGCAAAAAACCAGGAGTGCAGGCTGCATAACTCCTTCCTGCGCTCTTGGCTACAGAAGCTGCAGTGTCTCAGCTACACCCACCTGATGGGCCATCTCCGATCGTTTATCACAGCTGCTGAGAGAAGCCTCTGGTTTGTGTTCTCACACTACACTAAAGACTTGACTCCGGCCCTGTGCTGTTATCATACTCTTTGTTGACTGTACTTGTGCTTATCTAGAAGAAATGAAAAGAAAGTACCTAAAGCTTCTAAGTGGACCAGCAGCAGCCTCCAACCCAGCTGACCTTTGTAAATGTCCTGCTGAGATGGTGCTCACATCTGTTGCATATGTTTTGTCTGCAGAACACGCTGGAGCAATGCAGTGTCTGCGCAAAGCCCATCATGGAAAGGATCCTCCGAGCCACTGGGAAGGCCTACCATCCCCACTGCTTCACCTGCGTGATGTGCCATCGCAGCCTGGATGGGATCCCCTTCACCGTGGATGCCGGTGGGAACATCCACTGCATCGAGGATTTCCATAAGTATGGCCCAAGCTGCTCTAAGTGGCCTTGATGATTGTCTTTCTCTTTTGTCCCTAAAAATCCTCCTTTTTTATTCTGAGTGTCCAAAAATATCTGAACCCTCTGCCACTTCCTCCCAGGGCTCTTAAATAGTAGGCAGAGCTTTGTTTCAGGGAGGCACACTGTGGCATACAAGATAAATTGGTTAGGGGCCAGTGATGCTTGATATCAGTTTTGCTTAGATCTGAATTTATGGATAACCTCTGTGTTCCTCCATTTTAAATGTGTTGCATTCTCCCTGCCTTCCCCTGCACTCAGCATGTGCACGTTTCTCCTCGCTGCCTGTACCTGCACTTCCACGTTAGCGTCTTCCCCCCTTCTTCCACCAAGCAATTAAGAGAGGTCCTGTACTGTTGCACTCTGCGGGTGTTTGCTTACCAGCTAGAGGGATCTAGGTGGCCACAGGATGCTTACAGCTCCTCTTGTTTCTAGTTGCTAATTAGCTTTTTAAAGCTGCTAAAAATACAGCCCTGGTAATAATTTATAGTGAAACTGCTATTTAAAGTAAGTTGAAAGGTATAGTTGCAAGTAGTTTCTGTCACTGCCACGCTACCACCCCCATCATCACAACTAATCTAGGGAAGACAGGTAGATATAATCAGAGCACAAATGTTTTCCCTGTATGGAAAAGACAGACACATTACACCCCTCAATTAAAAGAGGAAATCAATACTGACAAATGTGAGTTTACATCTCAACCATTTATCTCTTAATTTCTAAGGGGGGTAGACTTAATTAGAGCCTCGTGACATCAGTGTGTGGGCCTGAAAGCTTAAAGAAGCAGGTTGACTTGACAGAAAGGGAAGCAGCCATGATCAACTAGCATGTTAAAATGCAACATGGGGATGTTCCCTGTAGCTCAGATAGGCTGAGTTAATTGGCAGCTGCTGTGTTGCCTTGCTTTTCTGTGCCAGCAGTTGTGTGTAAGGTAAAATTTGGTCCTGAGCACAGGCCCAACAGAAGGCTTACACACCACTCGGGTTCCTGAAGGGTTTCCCTCACACCGACTTACGATTTGGAGACTGCTCCTTCCCCAAGCCCCCGCAGGCCAAGGGCTCACAAGCCTTCAGGAGGAGCGTTGGGAGCAAGAGCTGATGTACCATGTTGAAGTCTTTTGGCAGTGACTGGATGTGGACCTCAGGGCTCTGGGAGTGGGAAGTGGGAGGCTGTTAATCCAAGGAAAGGACACAAGGTCGTTCACTGAAAGACTGAGGGGAAGATGGTGGGAATAGCATGAGACCTAATCATAGAGTCATAGAATATCTTGAGTTGGAAGAGACCCATAAGGATCGAGTCCAACTCCCTGCTCCTCACAGGAGCATAACTGTTACGTGACACTCAGAATGTCTTTGGCCAACCACATGTTTAGCAGCACTTCAGCTGGCCCAGTTTTAATTGTTCAGGGATGACATGTCCTCCTGGTCTGGAGGTCAAGTGCTCTACATCTTGTACATCCTCTTGATAACAATACTGTACCTGATCCTCACACTGTCGCTTAGCTACTCCCTGACCTTGGGCCCCACAGTAGCAAATCCACATACCCTGAAATCTGCAGGAGTCATCTCTGGGTCCTGGGAGTTAATATTTGGCTCATAATGAATTACCCACAGTGGCCTGGACAGAGAAATGTTGAAGTATTTTTAAGCACCACATTTGAGCTAAATGGCACAAGGAAGCGCCTGCATGAAGTAGCATATAATTAACTGCGATTACAGCTCCGGTCATATCATGATCCGTTTAAGTTCTTTTTCAGAGTGCTCGCTATAGCCACTGTTTAATTCATTTTTTCATTTAGATCACAGCTACACAGACATCTTTCATCTGCTGCCAGTGAAATTAATATTTTTCTCTATTCCTCATACAGATAGATTTTTTTTTTTTTCTTTTCTAAGCTAGTTAATTCTGAGGTGGTTCATGTCACAGGCTGGGTGGCAGAGTCAATCTTTCCTAGGCATTTCAGAAGAGAAGGGCCTTTGATCTCCTCATGTTCTGATGTTTGCCATAAGCATTGCCCTCTGTCACTCCATAGCCTGTGACCCCGGCTCTCATTACACGGCAGCAGACTCTGTAGGTACAAGTTTCTTTTTTTGTGAGCAGAATTTGCAGCCAGGGAATTGGTACCCATAGGTTTTGAATCAAAACGGCAAATAATGATTCACCACAGGTTAAATGTTCTCAAGCATCTCCACCTGCCTGGGAGCAGAGATGGCTACTTCTCATGGGCAACTGGGGGAAGCAAAACCAAAGCTAATACAGAAGACACGTGAATTAACCAGAAGGGCATACAGTGGGCAATATAAGGGGAAAAAGAAAGGTCGGTGCTCCTCTTGATCCCTGAGCTGACTAAGCCAGCAGATTCAAGCCATTCTCTTCACAGAGTGGGTGATTATCACCATACAACTCTGACTCCAGCTGACTGTGGAAGAGAGAGCGTTGGTGTCTCTGCACCCAGACATGTTCCCTTTTAAGCCTGGGCAACTCACTAATGGATAACTGAGAGTTGATTTTAGCTAGAAAACGCAGCTAGTCAAAATTGCCCTGATGCTTCTTGTTTGAGAGTGAGCACAGCCAGGAGCATGCTCCTATGCACATAACTGGGTAAGATGTCTCAGAAGTTTAAAATGGATGGGATAAACCTCAACAAATTAGTGTAGTATAAGGCAAATCTTTTTACCATCTCTATTAAGACTTTTTACCTATTTGTTCCAAGCTCCAATTTTTAATATTTTGATATTTTTTTTTCAAGAGATGCTTTTGAAGCAGATCCTGGTCATCTTTCTAACCTTAGGAATTGTATGGACTTTCTTAGAGTTAGGCTGGGGGTTGAGCCTCATGGTTGTGGCAGTGCATAGGTGTCACAATCATGGGTCGTTCAACAGGCACTTAAGCTCTTAATTAGGGCAAGCAGAATATGCTTTACTGCCTGCCAGATATTCTTGAAGTCCTCTCCTAATAGTCTGCAAAATGTGCCTTAATATCCTGCAAGCCTGAAATTGCGTTGTAAGGCTAAAGTGCTCCTTCCTGTCTTCTTTCCAAGGAGGCAGCTGTACAAAGCTGCAAACTGTGATGTATGTGTACATACATGTGTACAAATGCACACATTTCTGGTTTGCTGGTGCAGTTAACAAAAACTTTCACTCTGAGTTTGAGGATAACTGGGACTGTCTCTTCTTTCTTCAGGAAATTTGCACCAAGATGCTCTGTGTGTAAGGAGCCCATCATGCCGGCCCCAGGACAAGAGGAGACTGTACGCATTGTCGCCTTGGATCGTGACTTCCATGTCCAGTGCTACCGGTGTGAGGTTAGTATTCTAGTCACATGAAGGACAGAAAGCAAAGGTTGGCTTAATTTCATCACTGCCTCATGTTATACACACAACAGGCATACCCTATTGTAACACTGGCTCTACAATCAAATTACTTCATTGACTTCAGTATGCGAGGAATTATTCCTCATTTATATCAGTGCAAATGAGAAGAAAATCAGGTCCCTTGTTTATAACAGGTTCATTAGGAGAGCAAGAGAATGTGACTCAGGTAATTAGAGCTTAATATTTGAGAACATCATAAATTATAGCTTGGACACAAATGTTGCTCATGTTTATGTTCTTAAAATGAAAGCTAATGCATGTTAGAATTTGAGCAAGATTGTACAGGAAACTGAACATATGGCTCTGGGTTGAAGAATTTTAATGGACACATAAACATGATCATTCTTGTTTTGTGCAATGCTTTTTGTGCTACTTTCCTGTTCAGTTTCATTACGCACTTCATATAATTTTGATGGTAAGAATCTGAAGACAGAAGAAAAATCACCTTAAAGCAATTAACATGTGGGAACAGCTGTGTTAGGGAACCTTCAAGAATTCTTCAATGCAAGTGTTACTTGTTGCATAATACATCAGCCAGATGGCAGGGTAAGAAAATGAGACCAAATGTATTTCTTATCGCAGTTGCAGGTTTTAAAAACTTTAATTGGAAAGAAGGATGGACAAAGGCTTAAAGGTCTAGGCTGAGACATGAGGTATCTGGTTCACTTCTCAATCTGACCTTGGCTTCTAGGGTACATATCAGCCCATTACTTAGGGCCAGTTTGTTAAAGACACTGGGGCATTCCTACACTAAATTTTGTAGAGCCAGTTCATCATACAGCATGTCCCCATGCTGGCTGCTGAGATACCTAAGCTTCATGCACATGGATGTCAGAAGTAGCTGCAATGGAGAGCCCAGGACACAGACACTCACTTGGCCTTGATCTCTGTGTGCCTCAGTTCTCTCAAAAGGAACGATGATATTCCTCTTTCTACCACTTGCATGCCAGGTGTATTTACAAACACAGATTTATGATGAAGAGGCATGGCTTCTAAGCAAGCCTGTAATCCCCTCACCTCAGCTCCATCAGCAGTCTTTGGCCAAGCAATTGCCTGATCACAGAGTGAGGGATAATTCCCAACTTTCCTAGCAGCTGTACTTAGCCCTATGTACTTAGAGGCTGAAGTCTCCGGAGCACGTTTTGGGTCTTTTAGTGGGGTTTCCATGTGCCTGTCTCAGTGACATCCTCCTTTCAGCCACAACCTTTTGAGCCAATTGCAATACAAACACAGGTGACAGTTCTGGTAAGGGGAGACAGGCAGGGAGTTTGCTTAGCTGCCACCCATGGAATGGATGCTATAGCTTTGTGGCATTAACTTTTCCAAAGGAGATTACCTGTAGTCAGATATTGGTACCAAACTTCCTTCCCAGTGATGCTTCTTTTTTATCCTTTTTTGCATTAATAAATATGTGCTTAAGTCTGATGTTTTCTCCAATGCTAATGACCTTTCCTTCCTCAGAAATGTGAAGGGAATAATCTCCTTTTATTTTCAATTGGATTAAATTTAGCAGAGAGCTTGGGAACCCATCTTCTCTGCAGCATTGTCTCTTATCAGGAAATGGCTTAATCATGAAAGACATCACGTACCTCAGCTTCGTGCTTTACGCTGACTCAGGCTGGATCCTGTTACAAGGTGGCGAGTGAAGAGAGAATTTCTTTGACTAATAGATTCTTTGGTTAATCTTGTTCTTATTTCTTACTTACTTTGCTCTTTCTGTCTGCTTATTTCCTAGGACTGTGGCGGCCTCCTGTCTGAAGGGGACAATCAGGGCTGTTACCCTCTGGATGGGCACATCCTTTGCAAGACCTGCAACTCTGCTCGGATCCAGGCTCTGACTGCCAAGGCCAGCACTGATCTCTGAGTATCAACTGTGATCCTCCCCAGGATGCCCATTGGGGGATATTGCACAAGCTTTGCATGATTTCTTTCCAGCCTAGGGTCTGAATCTCTGTTTTTAAAAAAAAGTAAAACTGGAAGGCCTTGGAACAAGAGGGCAGTTCAAGAGGTCATGTTCAGACTGCCCATGACAGGCACCTGATTTAGACATGACTTTTCAGGAGGGCGGTGAGTGAGTCAGACCACCTGCTGTCTCTGCAGCTGATGGAGATAAGTGGTCACAGCACCTAAGTTATCTGCCTGTAGAAGGAGGTCTGAACATGGTCCTAACAATATTTCTGTGTTTGATTCCTGTCTCTTAAGAAGTACATGAAAGTAGAAGGTGAAAGATGGCTGAGCTAATTCTTTTTCCCAAGTTATTTTGAGAACCTGACCAGCTCTCATTGAAATCATGGGGAGCTTCCCTTTGACTTTAATAGGATCTGGATCACCAGCAGAAGTAGCTCCACTGCCCTAGAAGGTGTTGAGAGCAGACCCAGCACTCCTCTCATCACAACACAAACAATGCAACTTCAACTGTACTGCACCTAAGAGTGTAGGTGTGACCTTGTATCCTTGGGACACAGATTTGTTATCTATATCTTTTTTTGTAAGCCCTTACTTGTCTCCATTCCCTTCCAGTTCAATAGGATTTTTTCTTTTTCTTATGAAATTATATTTTGCTATTGCATAAATTTATTCAGTAGTGATGCTTCCAATTCACAATGTATGAGCAAGCACAGAAAGATGTGAGCTTGCACACGCTATACACTACACACACACAATGTGCTTTTGATTTACCAGAGGTATAAGCCAGTCATGTCCGTTAAGAAGGTCTTTTAAGGATGTGGGGCTGGAAACACATTTTTAAAATCCCAGTGGTTAAAAAAAAAAAAAAAAAAAGACTACATAGAACTGCAGTGCAAAGCGATGCTCAGAAAAATCTGATGTCACTCCCTCACACACCCCAGTCTAGCAGTGTTGGTTTCTGGGTAGACATTTAAGCAACAGAGTCTTCTTCCATCTCCTGTTTATTGCAATGGGAGGATTTTCCTTCAGCTGTAACAGGGACTGAATCAAGCCTTGGGTTATACATTTCTCTGGTGTTAACATGCATGATCTGGAGTTCTCATTAAAAAAAAATTAAGGATCTTTTATTTCAACAACAGCAAAAAGGATCCTCCTAAATACATGCTGTTGGTCAGTTTTTATCTTAAGAAAGCTAAAGAAGGTATTAAACCCTTCTCTGTGCCATTCCAAAAAGTAAGCGGGTTTTTTTTTTCCCCTTTCATTTTCATCCCAGCCACTTATAAATTCTCTTTGGTGCAATGTCGTTGCAGAAGAGTGCTGGGCCAGCAGCAGTGTTTTCATCTTCCATCCAGAATTAATACATATTCCAAGGTAAATAAAAGCTGGGCACAGATAATCTTTTTTTCTTTGTTGGTGGGGTTTTTTTTTAGTTTGGTTAATTAAAAAAAAAAAAAATTAGAAATCCACAGCATTCTGAGCAGCTATAATATTCTTGTTCATGAAACCCATAATAACTAAGGTGCAAATTACATAGTGAGGGAGTAATTTTCATATCACTGAATTGACATTAATATCTTATTTGCAGATGTAATCAAAGAAAATACCTTTCTTTGCACTTAACAAATTAAGAGGCAGATTTGAAACAGTTGCAGGCTGATTGACCATGTAAGTGACAAACTGGCACTTTTCAAGAGTAGGCTATAAGAAATTCTTTCATGCATCCACTGAAAAACAGTAAGAATGCTGTGCTTTCATTTTTATTCTCTATAACAGAAGCCTGATATAATTATACCCACTAATGCTAAAAAGAAAAAAAGAGTTAGGTGAGCTAGACTGATAGGAAACAAAGACGAAAAATTGAGATACTCACTGCAGCTCCTGCAAATGGTGCATTTCCTTTCAGTTTAGCACTAACCTTTATGGAAGAGCACTGTGAAATTTAATAGCTTTAGCTGTATACAGTAAATTCAAATACAGAAATACCAGTCTGAAACCTCTGTTCCTTACACGGTTTATATCTTGGCAAACTCCACCGGTGTCAGGGAAGATTCCCAAAATTCACAGCTCAGAATGAATCCTTCTTTGTAGAAGGGTGGCATCCTTAAGCAAAAGAAATCCTTCTCCACCATAGCGGCTGTGCTGAAGCAGTTTGCCTTTTTATATTAGATTTCTACCCTGGCTTTCAAGAATTTCACTGCCTCAGACGTAAACAAATTTTTTTGCACTGTGACTCCTGCCAGGTTCCATCTGGGCTCCTGCTCCCTGAACTGTGGCACGTAAGGTACTTCTGAGCTCGCTTCTTTACATGCAGTCTGCACCACCACCAGTCCAAAAAAACTATTGAGCAAATGCAGTTTGAACTAACCCTACAAAAACACGGGAGGTCAGAGCTGGGATTGCTAATACCATTGTGTCCCTATTGAGGATTTTACATCTCTGCAAGCACGGGGGAACATGTGATGCACTCAGGTGCAGAATAAGCCATTCATCAGGCAGCAAACGTAGCTCTGATCTTCCTTATTCTTCTTAGTGTTCAATCAAGTGGCTGATGAGACTCTCCTGAGTAACACTGGGGTAATTGATGGAAACGAGCTGTTGTGCCTTCCTGCAGAATGTGGCCTAGACTAAGGAGGACCAAAGTCCAGAGCCTTAGGGCTTTTTATGGCCCTGCCATGGGCTGGACTTGGACCAAGTCATATTCCTTCTTGTCTTCTGCCCTCTGCATGAGAGGGCTTCTTTCCAACTTCCCAGGGATGTTATGGGAATTAAACTAATCACAGATTGCCCCAAACTACTGATTTTTGGAGTTCTGTCTTCTCTTTCCAGAAAAGTGTGCTGGTATTTAGGTTTGGGATTCCAGCCCATTTCAAAGCTAAGGGCCAGCCAGGAGGTCTAGATCTGAATCCCCTGTGTTATTCAGGTGCTGTGGTGAGTTGGGCTGGCATGTTAGGGAGGTGAGAGCCAAACTTTTCAAGCATTAAATACTCCATGGATGGAAGATGTTTGACAAGGATTGAGCAGTGTTGATATTTGAGGTACTGTGGCTAATTTCTAGACCTGACATATCTGGGCAAAAGTACTATCATGCTTTTGTTTTCACCCCTGAAACACCAAAGCCATCTGCCTATCGGAAGGAGTGAACGTCCAAAACACTCTTCTTTATTTTCTGTAATGCATGTGGTTTTGGCTTCTAAAATTGCTGTAAATATATTCAGAAGATACTGCATAAATGTATATACATCACAGAGGCTCTCATCACCCGCACATGGATAGAAATCTCCCCTCTGATGCTACAGATTTTAATTAGGAAATGTTGGTGGACTTATCTCAATTGCACTGCAATTAAGAACCACTGGGCTATTGCTTCATCACAATATTTATCACATATTTATAATATATCCTGTTTTATCTGTTCCAAAGAAGGAGTCTTTTTGCCAAAGAGACCTTGCTTTTCTTAAGGTGCACTTCTTAGCCATGATAAAAATTCACATCATCTGTGGCTGTGGTAATGTCCAAACTATCCCTTTCAGAAAGAATTGGACATTTCTGTTCAAGTCTGCAGAGTTTTTGCTTATGCTGCTTTGGCTTTGTCTGGCATTTATTGGAAAGTAGGGCCTGAACCCATGATTTGTGTGGCCAGACAGGGCCCAGGAGGATCCAGGATCAGGTTCTAATTGAGCAAAATATATAAGCCCATGGGGTTTGTTTAAGCACAGGCTTAAAGCCATTGCATGATGTGACATAAGCCACGGGTCTACGTTCATTAATACCAGGCTGATTCTGTATCACCCAGTCATACAGATGTGATCAGGGTAGGATGTCGGCACAGTTAAATTTCTGTCAAATTACCCAGAACACATGAAATGGCTCCTGTGTCGCCTGTGTGCCAACTGCAGGAGGGCACCTGGTGGCTGATCCAACGTAACATTTGGACAACAGGAGGATGAGTTATTACAAGATCAGTGTTCCATGTCCAGTGGCTGTGGCACTTTCCATATGTCACAAGTAGCCCTACAGACAGATTTACTGTATCTTTGAACCATGGCTTTAAAACTGTCTACTTAAACTTTCTCCAGAAGATTGGGTTGCCTTGGTTACAGCCCAATCCTGAAGCATACCCCCAAGGCTAACACTAGTATTTTGTGAATGTGATGGTTTTATTGTCACTTATTTTAATCATTGCCTGAACGTTGCTTTTAAAAACAGAAAGCAACACCATTGCCTTAGCCTATCAGATAATGCACCTTTAGTTTTGTTTTTGTTTTTTTAAGATTTTAATTCTTAGATTTTTATCACAGCTGCGAAACACTTGGGTAATGACTTAATCATAGACGTGTGGGAGTACCAAAGTGTTTATCACAGTGAACTCTACATAATAGTGTTCATCCTGATGGCAGGAGCAAGACTTTCATGAGACACAGGCCTTAAGTTGAATTTCTGCCTATCAGCAAAATGTGCCTGAGAAGAATGAGAACAAAGTGTCTTTTAGAGAAATGGTGGTTGTTGAAGAGCATATGCAACAAGTTATACTGAAATCTCTTTGGACATGTTATGGCTGCTGCCTGGCCATGGTCAGCCAAGCCTACCTTAGGTTTGATAAATGCTGGTTCCTTTTGATTTTGAGAAAGTCCAGCAAATGAGGGATAACAGGACCCAGGAGAAGGTCCTTGAGGGAAATCCTGTGTCTTTGCCCTCCTTCAGCATCAGAGATAAATGTTAGGCACCTGGTGCTTCAGCTGAATGGCTCAGAAAGGAGTTGAGTTTATAACTGGTTTCTGTTGATATCTGGTTCCTGCAGTTGGTTCGTCATGTTGATTTGCTATTTGTTCACCGAGTTGGGTTGACTACACCTTACATAGACTTCGATACTTTAAGTCAGGGCTAGCAGAGAGAGATGTGCTGAAGAATCTCACAGTGGTGAAATTCCCACAAGAAAACATAAATGATGGTAATTGA